TGGACTACTGATCTCTTCTTCGGTTCTCATAGTAAGTTCATTCATGTAACAACATATTGAACAAAATTCGTCGGTCTGAGGATCGAATTCCTCAGTTGTGATCAATGTTTGAGACGTACTACTATCTGCCTTCGTAGGTTCCCCCAGATAAACCTCTTGAATCCTTTTTATCGACTCGTAACTCTTTGATTTCTTTGAAAATGTTTCCTTCGAATTCTTGCCAGTTTTTTTTTTTAAAGTCGTTTTGAATTCGTTAGCTTTGATCATCGAATCCAAGCTACCCTTTAAAACTGTATCATATCGTTGAGTGTTCATTGTTACATCTTGGCTCCTCGTGTCGCTAGTTCCTCTTTTTGAATTAGTTGATTTCAATGATCTCGCTCTTCCTGGCTTCTGTTCGATCAAAGTAACACCGATACGATCTTGTTCGACAGGTGAAATGGATTCAAATTGTCGTAATTGACTGTCCTTTACTTTTCTCGGACTTTTACGAGAATTTACCACTGACTTCAAATACTTACCATCTATTTCGAGATTTGAATCACGTTTTGACGAACGTTTAGAAGGCTGAATCTTTCCTTCGAGTTTAACATCTCCGTCAAATTTCTTCTTATCTTTATCCTTATCTTCACAAATTTCCTGATTCTTGATCACTAAATTTTCTATCACAGAGACAGCTTCGATCGTGCTAGCAGCTGGACTCAATTCGACATTTTGAAGAACATTATTATCTTCCTCGTTAATGTCTTTCTTTATATCCACGCCAGTGTCCAAAAATGTTTCATCAATACATTGCTCAGCTTTGGACTCTTCCATTTGATTATCTCTTCTATCATTTTCTATATCGTTTGACATATCTTCTACGACTTTCGATTGTACATCTTGAATATTTTCCTTTACATTCTGATCAATGTCAATCACTTCGTTTTCTTTATCATCGTTTATTAACTTACTATACGTGTGATCATCTTTGGAAATGGTAAAATCAGAAAGTCCATACTCTAATCCTGTATCTAATTCATTTTTTACTATATTCTCATCAGATTTTATTATATTCTCTTCCACGGACAATAAAAGAACATTTTTATCATCATCGAGTTCTAACTTTGCATCGACTCTTTTATCATTTTCCATTTTTTCTGTTCTGTCTATATTATCGCTAGGCCCTACAGATTCTACTCGATCGACCTTCATCGAGACATCTTCGAAAGTTGATGGATTCGAGGATGTCTCGTTTACTTTGTTAAGAACCCTCGTGACCCTACTTTCTTCGTTAACGGAACCTACCTCATCAAGGATCTGCGATTCACCGCTTTCGGTGGCAATGATCTGTTTCGCTTGACCTGGATACGCGGCCTTCGTGCTAGAAGTTACGTGCTTGGCATTACCATTTTCAGCGGTGATCGCGTTAATGAATTTCTCACGAGCCTCCTCGAGACCAATCGACTGTCTGGAAGCGACGAAGGCCGCGCTCGTTGCGTTCTGCAGATTTTTACGCAGAACGGTATCGGGAACATCGATGCTTATAATTTCAATCGGGCTCGGGGATTCCATGGTAACGTCGCTAGGCGACGGCGTGAGGAAGGTGCTTTGGTACTTGGGATCAATGGTCAAGTAATCGTTCGCATTGGGCGAGGTCAGGTCCAACTTACTTCAGTGTCCAAGAGGATTGGCAGCGTGAAAAACAAGATATCGTATTGTTTTCGTTACAATGTTACTGATTAATCCTTCAATCTTCTTTCTATTAATATCCGCTTCACTGATCATATTGTACAAATTATAAGAAAATTCTTTTATCGGATTTATTTTCCTTCATCTTTGTTCTTTTCTTTTTTCCCCCGAAGAAAACTTTTAAGAGAAACTTTCGAGTACAGTCAGTCAAACGGATATGTCTTATCTACGTGCTGATAATATATATATAATATTTGAAGACTATGATAATTATAACGTAAGAAAATTTATTTACGATCGTTGAGTATCATGGTAGATTAAAGATTTTAAATTTATTTACATATTGATAAATGATTGTGAAACTAAATTAATGGAATTATGTTTAATCTATATAACAATGCATTGGCCGTATTTCACATAATCGCACTAATTTGTACGTTATTACTTAAATTCCTTAATGTTAATATCCGTATATCTTTCTAACTCACCGATTATACCGATGATTAATATTCGCTATAAAAATACAGACTTTCTATACAAAATATGTAAAAATAAATTTATGTTTAAAATAGAACTCTTCGCAAATAATTCATCTATTTGATATATAAGTAAATATATATATATACATATATATATATATATATATATATATATATATATTTATCTATATGTAATGATTTTTTTCTATACAGACCCAGGGGATCCCATTTAGCACATTATAGAGTTTGAAAGATCTTTGAAATTCAGCCAAGCTATCTAACGATCTATGGCTGAAATGATTATTTCTATACAATTTCTATCTAAGATATCATATTGAGAGAATCTATTGTGATATGATTAAAACTGATTTAAGTGAGTTTGCATTAAATAACATTTATAATTAAATTACGTTAAACTCACATTGTCGTAGTAGTAGAATTTGTGTTATAGATTCCATTTTTGTGGACATAATCAATGACAGAATCCTGAAGGAGATACCTTACGCTTTCACCTCTTTTGAATGCTCTTCTTATTCTACTTGAACTGACTTCGTTTGGGATCCATTCCGTCACAATATGAATATTATGCTACAAATGAAAAATTATAATCACCGTCAATGTTCAATTTTAATTATTATATATTTATTTTATCTTACCATATGTCTTGAAAGAATATCCGAATCGTATATAAATTTGTTAGGATTAGAGCCTTCTCTTGTAACGACAACGAGTCCATGTTGACCAACTATTGTATCTATCTGTATAATAAAAATAAAATTATATCAATAAAAATATTCTTATATGAATGAAATATATTAATAAAATGTAATCAAACTAACGTCTTCCTCCATCCACAAATCAGATTTTCCAAAACTTTCAAGAAGATCTGCTCCGCATAATAATTTGATTTGAATTGGCGTTTGATCCTCACTATTTCTAATATTCTCTGGTATCCATTCTAAGTCCTCTTTCGATACATTATTTCTAACATCGTTTGTATCAAACAAAAATAGATTTAATAAATTTTGATGATATTGAAGAGATGCTCTAGTCCTAGTCCAAGCGCTTTGTCTTGTTTCCCAAGTACAAAGTCGAATCCAATCACTGTCCTGCAATGCTAAACGTAGCATAGAACATCTATGGGTCGCTGGTGCAAGTTCTTTCTTTGCATATGCATCATGAACTGGAGATATAACTCCACCAACCACTACATGATGACCCATTCGATGTAAATGATCTCTTGCTATTTCTGCAAAACAAAAAGTAAAATATAGAATCCTTAATTAATATTTTCAAGATAATAAGTAATGTTCATACGTGATAATGTACATGTAATATATATTGAATAAAAAAAAAAAAAAAGAAAAAAAAAAAGTAAAATATTATTGTATCATGAAATAAGTATTTATGAGGCATGACACGACGAAAAGTCACGATTATAAATAAATTATATAGCAGAATCAATTATGATTTTATTAAAAATATTTCAAAACTTTTCTAAATTCTCATTTATTTCTTCTAAATCGATTGTTATAAAATATTACGCAATATGGTAATCAAGTATCGAGGAAAATGAAGAACTGATATTGATTATTAAATGATATAACTACGTACCAAACATTCGTAAGTGCATATTGGTTGGAGGGTTATAACTTCCGCAAGACATAAGAATAATACGTTTAGGTGACATTTTTTCTTTCTCTGTCAAAAAGCATGTGCTGACAATCGTGTTAACGTATTTCTTGATCCCTCGTCTTGAAACTGTTTGATTTTGTAACACCTTGTACCAAAGAATTCGTGTTATAAAACAGTAATAACAAGCATCGTAAAACCGGAGCAAACTCCGCACCGACTGACGTTTCGGCCATACTTGATATCGCGTTACCACCGAAGTCAAACGATAAATTTTTTTCAAAGCTAAATCAAACGACATTCAAATTAACCTGAAAATATAACTCATCAAATAAATTATCATCTTATCGTATTAATCACATATACTATTTTACCTTGTCATTGTATTTCGATATCAGATGACCTTCAGTCTCTTGTTTTAATCGAACATACGACACTTCCTTTCTTTGAACGCGCGTCAACAAGTTGTACATACATTTTGTTTATCTTTCCTGTTTCTTTCCATTGATAATATCGCATTCTTTCGTATCAAATGAAACATAATTAAGAGAAAAAGCGAATGATCTAATGTTTTTTCTTTTTAGATTAAGACCAAAAAGAAAAAAAAAAAAGATTTCGAAACAACGAAAATACGATCATTGGGATTTATATAAATCCAACTTCGTCCGTCCGGTATATCATTTAACTGTAAACGCAAATCTCAAAACTTTTTCCCTTTCTCTCTTCTTTCCTTCTATCGTGAAAGCTTTCAATTTAAAAGTGCATGATTTACAAGCAGATATATACAGCTTACTACTACCTACTGAAGTGTAACTCGCAAAATACTTACATATATACAGATATAACTTTTGTTACATCGAGAGAGAGAGAGAGAGAGAGACAGAGAGAGAGAGAGAGAGAGATCAATACTTTAGTTCGAATCATTTGCCGCGAGATGGCGCTACGTCGTCTTATCGAAGAAAGAGTGCACTCAAGGACAAGAGTTATGATCCCGATTTATGCAACCTTTTAAAATACCTTTTCTTACGTCAAATATTACGTAAATTTAAAGTACCTCTACCAACTCTGCCGGTCTCTAGTAAAGTATGCTGGACTTTGATATATACCGCCGAAGGATTTAGAATAACAGCTTTATAGCTTATAGAGGTTAGGAAATACATAGAGGGATTATTATTACCGTTGTCGGCCATCTTTTTTACTCTTCCTCTTTTGGTGGCTCACTCTTTTTTCTCTCTCTCTCTCTCTCTCTTTCTCTCTCTCTCTCTCTCTCTCTCGCTTTCTCTCTCTCTCTCTCCATCTCACCGCTCGAACATCCTAATCCCGCTCTTCTCCTACGCGTAAAAAAAAAAAGTAGTGACAAGGGTGGTTATGGTGTCGCTTAATGATACACAAATTTTATTTTATTTACGTTTTCTTTTTGTTTTTTTTTTGTTTGTTTGTTTGTTTGTTTGTTTGTTTGTTTGTTTGTTTGTTTCTCCTTTCCTTTCCGCAGAGAATCGAGGAAATCATTCGTTAAGAGAACAAAAACCTCTGCAATACGAATAGCAGTTACAAGTAAGTATGTACAATAATAATATAAGTGGTTGCCTTTCTTTTTTTTTTTCTTTTTTCATTTTTTATTTGCAATTTTCATTTTTTTTTTTTTTTATATTTTATTTCTTCCTCATTTTCTTCCTTCCTTGATGCTGTCAGGTTTATTTCCTACTTTCGTTCTGTTAATGGTAATTTATAATGATAATCAATTAATTAATACAATAATAATAATCATAAGCATAAAGATCGTACTCAATTGTATCAATAACGTGTTCTGTTCCTTCTCTCTCTCTCTCTCGCTCTCTCTCGTTCTCTCTCTCTTTCTCTCTCTCTCTCTCTCTCTCCCTCTCATTTTCATACAGCCATTTAATAATGGAGGTACGATTATATAGGCGTATCAATCGATCGAGTCATGACAATATTTACGAATTGACAGTGCGTGCCCTTTAACCTTATATTTTTCACTCGTCTTTTTCTGTCTCTCTGTCTCTCTCTCTCTCTCTCACACACACTCATTCGCTTTCTTTTTCACACACACGTTCTCTCTCTCTCTTTCTCTCTCTCTCTCTCTCTCTCTCTCTCTCTCTCTCTCTCTCATTATTTCACTTTCTCGACTTTCGTATCGACTTTGTCAACGACTTTTTATCCGACAAGAATTCTCTTTTTTATATCCTGTCTTTGTATATTTATATTTTTTTCTTTCACCCTTACCCCCACTCATCATACCCCTCTATCACTCTTCCCCTCTTTCTCTCTCGCATTCTCGCTCTGTTAATCGTGCAGAAATATTAAGATCACTACGTATCAATGTATCTAAAAATTCCTCGCACTTGCTTTCAACCCCCCTCCCCTATCTCTCTCTCTCTCTCTCTCTCTCTCTCTCTCTCTCTGTCTCGTATTTTCCACTCACTTTTTCACTCACACTTTCTACACAATATCCCTTAAATATTACACAATAATATTATAATCCTATCTTCACCTCGTGTTCGATTATACTACTCTCTCTCTCTCTCTCTCTCTCTCTCGATCTCTCTCTCTCTCTTTTTCTCTCTTGCTCCCATACACACATAATTTCATACGTTAAATGTTTCTTTCTCTCTCATTTTCTATCTTTCCTCTCTCTCTCTCTCTCTCTCTCTCTCTCTCTCTCTCTCTTTTCACACATATTAGATTCAAAGAATCTCTCTTGTAATAACGACATATCCGAACGTTAATACGAGCATGAAAACTGGCTCTTACATACTTACAAAACCTCCCTCTCTCTCTTTTTCTCTCTCTCTCCCTCTCTCTAGTTTCTCGTTCGCTTATTTGCTTATTCGTCACTCCTTACTCTCACTTCGTTTCGAGTTTCTTTTTTCTTTTTTTTTTTTTTTTTTTTTTTAAATCCACTAATCACACTTCTACCGTTGATTAAATGCTCTTAGTGCCAGGAGAGCCCGATGTTGGTGTTGGTTGCCGATGACGATGGTGGTGATGGTGGTAATGGTAACGGTGATAGCTTGGCGAGCGCGTATCATCTCTAATCGTGCATTTCGTTCGTTCGTTCGTTCGTTCGTTCGTTCTTTCGTTCGTTCGTTATCGTTAAAAAAAAGAAAAAAAAAAGAATATCATATACGCCTTCCTTTATTATTGTTATTATTTCTTTTTTCGTTCCTTTGTTGTCCACCATATACAATACATTCTCTCTCTCTCTCCTTCTCTCCCTTTCACTTTCATTCGTTCATTCCTTCTATTATCAACTATTATCACGGGTAAATAATCTTCTACGCCCAAATGATCGAGGATCGTCCCTTTTTCTTCGTACATATTCTAACTTCTCTTTCATTCTCGTTGTTACGATTGTAAGAAGAAGGAGAAGAAGAAAAAAAGAAGATGAGGAAAAAGTATATATATATATATATATATATATATATATATATATATATATATATATATATATATATATGTAATCCCAATTTCGAATGTTCGAGAAAAGAAAAATTCGAAGGAAAAAATGGCCGGGTGGGAGGAACAATGTGAGGTTAGGATATTATCGAGTATGTAACCTCGCAACAGCTTTACGTGGCTCAACAACGACCGAGAAAAGGACCGCACTTTTGCTCTGAAGGAGTATCGCCATGACAGCCGTCTCTTAGCTGAAAATAATCCAAGCCCACCTAATCTAACCCCTTTTTTTTTGTTAGATACTTCTTCGATAATTCTTTTTTCCTCTTCTTCTTTCTTCTTCTTCATCCTATTCTATCTCTATTTCTTTCTCTTTTCATTTTCTATCATTTTTTTTGTCATAAATTTCTCTAAAAGAAAACAAAAAAAAAAAAAAGAAAAAAAAAGAGAAAGATTGAAAAATTCAACATAACACGATCTAATTGAATTAAATTTATCGAGTATTAATCTTAATCCTTATCATCATCGTTTATTCGTATCACGTATTTTCAAGTTCAATTAAGACGATCCTCGATCCAAGATGGCGGCCGAATCGCAAAGAGTCCTTTTCTTTCCTCCTTTTTATCTTTTCTTTCGTTCTTTCTTTTTGTTTTTTTTTTCTTCTCAACTCCTTCGCGTTCATCGCTCGTTCACACAAATGTACACATATACACACACACACACATACGTACGCACGTATGCACACACGCACGCACATACATTCTTTTTTTCGTTAAATAGTAATCATCTAAACAATGAAAGCAGCAAAATGTTCTCGAGGAAAAAGATGTCCCTGAGTGCGACGGAGGGCGACGTGAATGTACATACGGCGAGTTGGGAACTCCCGAATAGTTCCTCCCTTCATCCCTTCCTTCCTTTCATCCTTCTATTTCTTTTTTCTTTTTCTTTTTTTTTTCTTTCTTCCTCTTTAATTCTATATCTCTATTTGTCTACCTACGTATCATCCATCCCTATATCTCTATTTCATTCTCAGCAGGAGAAGTTATCGTCGCCCTTCGTCGTCTTCCACGTTCCCCTAACACTCGCCCTTTTGTTGTTTTTGTTTTTTTTTTTTTTTATTTGTTGCTGTTTTTATTCTTCCTTTTCCCATTTCTTTATTTTCTTTTTTCTCTTCTCTTTTCTTTCCTTCCTCTTTTCTTTTCTTCGTTTAAAAGGACTCTATCATGTAAACCCGCGCAGGATATCCGAACGCGGGTTAAACCCACTTGCAATTTTGCCAAAGGTGCGATTTGAAACACGAACCTTCTTTTTTTTTCTTTTCCTTTTCTTTTCTTTAGTTTTTCTTTTTTTGTTTCTGTTCTTTTTTTTTTTTTTTTTTTTTTCTTTAAAAAGTTCGTTCCTTTTAATAACATATATAGCATTTCTTTTTTCCTTCTCTTCTCTGCTCTGCTTTGCTCTGCTTTGCTCTTGAAAAAACATCAACACCCCCCTGGAAGATATCGTCCACGGAGAAAGAAAGGGTTCTCCTCGCGAGAGAAACAGGGGGATCACAATAGGGGTGGGAGGGTAGCGATGGCGGCGGACGAGAGAGTACGCTGGACGGCAGCGGAGTGTAGCTCTCTGGTAGCTCCTGCGCGGGGCTCTCGTAAAAAGAGGGACGTTTCTTCTCTCAAAAGTTGCATCATCTTCCTTCTTATATATCCTTATTCCGCTTATTATTATTTTATACTTTTTTTCCATTTTTTTTTGTTTCTTTTTTTTTTTTTTTTTTTTTTTAATCATTTTGTGAAATTGCGTCAACTAAGTTTCTATATCCTTTAAATCCTTCTTACAAGTTATGGTAGTAGTAGTAGTAGTAGTAGTAATAGTAGTAGTAGTAGTAGTTGTAGTAGTAGTAGCAGTTATAGCAGCAGTAGTAGTAGTAGTAGTAGTAGTAGTAGTAGTAGTAGTAGTAGTAGTAGTAGTAGTAGTAGTAGTAGTAGTAATAGTAGTAGTAGTAAGTAGTAGTATAGTAGTAGTACTAATAGTAGGTTCTCATTTTTTTTATTTCTTTTTATGTTTAAGCATTTTTTTATTTTTTATATCCTTTAGTTTCTGGTTCTGATAATCTAATAGACATCTAAAAATAACACCCATTTTTTTCATTATTATTTCACATTTGTATCTTCTTTATCAACGTGTTCTTTCTACCCCTCCCCTCTCTCTCTCTCTCTCTCTCTCTCTCTCTTTCCCCTCACTCCCTTCACTCCTGTCTTATTGATCGTGTATATTACTTAAAGATTCCCTTAAACATTAGATCGAGGGTCGCGCGGCTATATGTTACTACTATGAGCTCAAGGACCTCGTCAGAAGTGGAAGAAGCGGAATGGGATATACGATATATATAATATCCTCTTTCTCTATCTTCTTCTTTATCTATCCTCAACATCCTCTCCTTACCTTCTAAC